GGAGGGAGGGGAAAAATGAGGACCTAATGTTGGGGGTTTAAATGGAGAGAAAATGTTTTGAGAAACAATGTACAAATGCGCTTTACACAACTGATGTGTGTATGGATTGTGATAACAGTTGTATGAGCCCCTAATAAAATGTTTAAAAAAATTACTATTGAAAGAATAGACAAGTGTTAACGATAAAGATAATAAAATGTACAAAAAGACATGAAATAAATAGGAAATAACAAAATGATTAAAAAAATTTTTTTAAATAAAGAGACGGACAGGGCAAGATATGTCAAAATAATAATTTATAAATTGTCAAGGGCTCATGAGGGAGGGGGAAAATGAGGACCTAATGCCAGGGGCTTAAGTGGAGAGGAAATGTTTTGAGAATGATGAGGGCAATGAATGTGCAAATGTGCTTTACACAATTGAAGTATGTATGGATTGTGATGAGAGTTGTATGAGCCCCTAATAAAACGATTGAAAAAAATGTTCAAACAAAACAAAACAAAAAAGAGTTGTATGAGGCCCCAATAAAATGATTTAAAACAAAACAAATGTTAAATAATAATTAAAAAAAAAAAAGATGTCCTTACCCTGCCCACACCCCCTTGCATGAACTACTTACTGTTTGTATATTTATCAGTTGAATGACAGCATTATACAGCTTTTGTTCTTTTTCTATCAGGAAAATCTCCTGATGAGAATTCACTTCCACATTGCTGATGAAACGAAAGAGGATATATGTACTGCTCCACATTGCATCTCTCATCAGAAATTTGCAATGACGTTGTTTGAGCAGGTGAAACCCTCTTTCTTTGTCCATCTCTTCTTAGACCTTATTCAAGCACACTTCCTGGGGATGTGGGTGTCAAATGGATGTGAGAGCAGTAAATGACTATGGATGCTTGGTTTTGTTTTTCTCTCCCCGGGCTTAGTGTGTATGTACTAGCTGTGGGGCTACTTCGGATCCATTGCCTTTCATCCAGATGGTACATTACATCTCCACTACTTCCCTTTGGTGAGTTTTACAGTGCCCTCGGGTACTCATCCAATCTTCCCCCAGTTTATTGGGTTTTAATTGAAGACCTCCACATGGTTTCTTGCCGAGTCTCGGCTTCATTGTAGTAACTCAGAACTATAAAAATAACCGTTGTCCTCTTTATTGTCTCTCCTATCACTTCCCATTTCCTAAGCTCAGTTCCGGCCAGGAAAGGATAGGGGAAATGGGCACTCTATGAGTTTCCAATCTTGGGACTGGCAGAGGCACTCACTGCATCTGTAGGTCAGAGTCCGGACAAAGGGTCTCTGGTACAGTGGGCACAGAAGAAAGTCAAACAGTTGGGCATTTGCATGGGTGATTTATTTGATGTACCTGTAACTGCCCATCCATTATTCTCCTTTTGTTCTCCACCTTGAAGCAATCAGGCCATTTGTATGTTGGAAAGACGTGAAAAACCGTCACCGAGTATGTTTGGTGAACTGCTGCAGAATGCCAGCACCATGGGGGATCTGCGAAACTGCCCTGTGAGTTCTGTCGGGTGGCATTTGGAGTGTGGAGAGAATCTTGACTGCAGTGGAATTGAGGCAGAACCAGTGGGAACCAGGTGAAACAATCTTCTTGTATGTATTTCAGAGCAACTGTGGAGAGAGGATCCGGATTCGCCGTGTGTTGATGAATGCACCACAGATTATCACAATTGGGTTGGTGTGGGACTCTGACCACTCAGACTTGGCAGAGGATGTCATCCACAGCCTGGGCACCTGCCTTAAGCTGGGTGATGTAAGTATTAGTTATCTTTGTCACTGAGTTAGAGTTCTTGTGTTTGGCATTTACTCAAGGCAGTGAATGCGGAACAGAAAGGTATATCCTACATGACAAAAATATAATTTAGGGCAGAATTACATGCGCTTATGTATATCCATGAACAAATAATCAGAGAAGCTGACTTATATGATGAAGAAAGAATACTGCATCAGGATTGGAGGACGGCACAGGACCAGGCAGAGTGTTTTGTTCTATGTTCATGGGGTTACTATGGCTGTGAACCAACTCGATGGCAGCGAAAAGCAACAACATGTTTATACATGCAGGGGATGCACATGGATGTGCACAGATCTCCTTGGGTAGACAGCAAAGGCTTTTGGGGAAGCAATGGGATGATCTTATCCTTGAAGGACAGGATTGGTAGAGCTAACCTCCTAAACAAGAAACAAACTTTTGGTCACTGACTCAATTCTGATTCGTAATGACTCTGTAGGACAGGGTAGAGCTGTCCCTATGAGTTTCTAACATTGTAACTCTTTTTTTAAAAAACATTTTATTAGGGGCTCATACAACTGTTATCACAATCCATACACACATCAATTGTGTAAAGCACATTTGTACATCATTCTCAAAACATT